TCGACCTCAAAAGAGCGATGGCGGTGGTGAGAAAGGAACTTAGGAGGAGGAAGGCACCCCACCGACCGGACAACTTGATTCTCGATCTGTTGGGTTTCACACTGTACAATAGCGATTTTATTTTTATGGATGCATATTATTTACAAATTATGGGGGTGGCTATGGGAAGGGCCTACGCCCCGACTATAGCCAACCTATATTTAAGGAATTTTGATGATATTATTACTAACCGTTTTAGACCCATTCATTATTATCGTTACCTTGATGATATTTTTTTGTGCGTGAATGGTGATTTTAATTATGATGAATTTTGCAAGAGGGTGAATGAATTTATGGATAATATTGTGATTGAATGTTGTATGAATAGCAGGATGATTGACTACCTGGATGTTTCCATTTATAAGTTTTTGGCTAGCGATAAACTGAGGATGCGCACATGTGTCCATTTGAAGGACACGGACAACCTAGCATTGTTGCACCGTGAATCGTGCCATCCTAGACATGTAATGAGGGGGATAATTAGATCGCAATTCATCAGATATTTTAGGTTATGCAGTGAGTTTGAATCCTTTTGGTATATGGCGCGTATGTTGATGAATGTGTTGATGGACAGGGGTTATGGATATAAGGAAATGAAGATAATACTTAGGGAGGTGACTAGGGAGTATAATGTGCATGAATGGTTTAATAAAAACTGTAGGGGTAATGGGATGGATGAAGATATAAATGATAGTATGAATGGCACCTTGGGGATTGGGTTAAACAACATTTATGATGAAGAGAGAGGGAAGGAGATGATCATCCCTATCCCTTTCTCTAATGGTCTTAATACCTTTAAAGGTAAGATCATAGAATTCTTTAAAACCAATAAAATGAACACTAACGTCAGGTGCGTGAATACCAGCAACATACCTCTAGGACGATTGGTATTCCGTGATTGATGATTCACATATCTTTAGGGGGCCTTGTATTCCTGGTGTGATGTTGGGATATGGTGATTCTATATGTTGTATGGTGTTGTCTCTATTGGAATTATCGGTATGACTGTTATTATTATTGTATGCACCTTTTACATTGATGTGACCCTTTTGTTATCTAGTGTTGCACCTTTATTGCTCGGTTTGCTAATTAAGTCAATTGGGACGGGATGGATGTATGATTTGGTTTTTTTTTTTTTTTTTTTTTTTTCCTAAAATTTAAGGGGTATGTTTTGTCTGGGGGATATTCAATTACCTTTGTGAGTGGTTTGATGTGTTTGTGTTCAATGATGTCTGCTGATTACTGGGTTTTGATTGGGGTTGAACCAACCCTAACCCTGACCCTGAACCTGCTACATGTAGGTTTTGGTGGGTTAGGATGGTCTGAACCTTGACTGTTGTTTCGAATGAATTATACCGGTATTTATTTATTTAATTAATTGATCGTAATTGGGCGTGTATGAGTCATACCTTGTCTGCGTATGCTGGATGAATGATTGCATTTGGGTGTTATTAGACGGATGTATATGTCTGCGTATGCTGGATGAATGATTGCATTTGGGTGTTATTAGACGGATGTATATGGTATGTTTACGTTATTCGGTGTTTTAAATATCTGATATTATTTGATGTGTTTAGAACGATAGGTGGTGTGAATGTGGAATGGTTATATATTTTTTCTGGTTGGGCTTGGGATGTGAGCCTTATAGTGTTATTACTGCTTAATCTTTTATCTTTACTCGAATTTTCTGAATGACAGGTGGCGGAATTCGATGTTTTATTTATTTAGGGATATTGTCTACTGTTTATATGAGGGTTCTACCGTTGGTGGTAGGAAAAAACATCACCCGGATAAAAGTTCACCTGCTAAAAATGCAGAGAAAAAACATCACCCGGATAAAAAATCACCCGGATAAAAAATCACCCGGATAAAAAATCACCCGGATAAAACATCACCCGGATAAAACATCACCTGAATAATACATGACAAAATTTAATATAAAATATAAAACTTTTACAATCGATGACAAGCGTCTCCAATTTATATTCTATTTAAAAATTTAAAAACTTTTTTTAAATAGAATTATTTGCTGCGCACAATAATTTGGTGCACTAATTACCGCCTTGACGTCGTTTGATTGGCTGTAGGATTTGTCTGCTTTTGTTAAAATAGTCTCAAAAATTTGTTTGGTTTTGCAGCAAATGTAGAACTTTGCTATTGAATTTCCCATTGAATTTGTTTAATTTAGACAAGTTTGATGAGTGGGTATTGTAGACATTTCAATAAGCTATCAGATAAATATCATAACTCATTTTTGGCAAAAAAAATGTGTCTGGTTTTGTAATATAGCTCCTCATTTATACTAATTTAACTGTTATCATGGAATTTATTAGAAACAACAAAGGTGGTTTGCAACTTTGCTATAATGGGTACGCCTTCAACAAAAAAAATAACAAAAAAAAAACAGTAAGATGGCTATGCAGCAAACATAGTTCATTGAAATGCAATGGATCGGTTGTCACAAACTTAGAAGTGAGTAAATCTTTATTTTATTTAAATTGTAAAAATTACAAATATAAGTTAATTAAACTTAGTAATTAACAATATTAACTACCTTTATTTCAATAAATGTTTTCATATTTTTCTATGTTACAAGATAATAAAGACCTCATAAATAAATGTATTTTATGGTGTTGTTTGTAATGCGTTTTTATCAATATTGTTCTGTTTTGTAGATGAATGCAGTATTAAGTGTCACACCTCATACACATCCATCGAGTGAATCAGAAATTGAAAAACTCAA